TTTAAAAATTAAAATTGCAATTTAATTTGGTCTTTTATTCCTTTAAAAGGCGAAATTTCGACGCAATTTGCCGTTTGCAGATCCACAACTGCAGCAGCAGCAGCGCAGCCATTCGGCGTGGAAAATGCGAAAATTCGAAACAGAATGCCCATCATTTTGAAAATAATTCTCTTTTTAATTCTAAATATATATTTAAAATGCTAAATATATATTTAAAATGCATTTTAATGGACTGGATCGAAAGGATATGGCGGTTCAAGTTCCGCTTTGGAGTGTACGTACAGCGCAGCTCTGGGGTGTATGCGCACCTCCGCGAGCTCGGGTGTATGTACAGCTGGCGAAACTCCTCTTAAATGTTTCTTTAATTTAATCCGGCGGCAGTTAAAAGGAAGTTTAGTGAAATGCAGCTCGAATTGGGGTGTATGTACACCGGAGATGTGCTCCGGGGCCACCTGAACTTGGGGTGTATGTACACCGGAGATGTGCTGCGGGGCCACCTGAACTTGGGGTGTATGTACACTGCAACTGCAGGGCTCTGGAAGGCCCGCGCCGCCGAGGCCACCAGCTGGCCTTCTACGGACTTCCCAGCAAACCCTTTAAGGGTTTGAGTCCTCAAGAAGAAACCCTCGTGAATGCTGCCTACAACGAGACAAAAGAAAAACTCAAAAACCCTAATATTTTCGTCAACAAAAAGAGTGCGCAAACGCCGCTCCGGGCGAGGGTTTAGGGTCTGGGCTAGGGTTTGGGGTTAGGGTTTAGGGTTTAGGGTTTAGGGTTTAGGGTTTGAGGGCCGCCGCAGTGGCTGGAGGCTTTTCGCTGGCGCTCGTAAACCCTGAGCAAGAAAGCCAAAATGCTAGGGTTTAGGGTTTAGGGTTTAGGGTTTAGGGTTTAGGGTTTAGGGTTTAGGGTTTGTGTTCAGGACTTTGTGTGCGCAATTTGCCGCGCTGGGCGGACGCGAACTTCATAAGGGAAAAGCTGGTGGGCCTTTTGGCTTCCATTTTGAAAGAGCATGCAGAGTCTCCTGCTGCAGCAGCTGCTGCTGCTTCTGCTGCTGCTGCAGCAGAGCAGGCAGACGGGGATCCTGAGCAGCAGCAAGAGCAGGAGCAGCCAAAAGAACGGCAGCAGCAGCAGCAGCAGCAGCAGCAGCAGCAGCAGCAAGCCAAGGGGAAGAAGTCTAAGGAGTGGAAGGCGAAAGCAGCAGCAGCAGTTGGAAAGGTTCGTTGCTGCGCTGCAGCGTGGAGTGTATGCACAGCTGCTGCATGCAACTTGGGGTGTACGTACACCGCGTTTGTGCGTTTTTCTTCATTTCTTTTTCTGCATTTCTTTCCTTTCACGTCGCCAGCAGCAGCAGCTGCAGCAGCAGCAGCAGCAGCTGCAGCAGCAGAGGGAAACTCTGAATAAAAGAAGAAACACAAAATGACAAACATTTCCACTGAGACTTGTTTGCAGGTGGCAGTCATTCGCGAACAGAAAAACCCCAAAGGCCGCAGGGGGCCCCCGGGGGCCCCCCGGAGGTCTTTGGGTTTTTGTTTTGTAGATTTGAAGTGCGACTTTGCGGAGACGCTGCAGCTGCTGCATGCAATTCGCGACAGCAGCAGCTTCTTTTCGAGGCCCGAAGAGCAGGTGCAGCAGCAGCAGCAGCAGCAGCAGCAGCAGCGGCAGCAGCAGCGGGAGGCCAGGCGCCCCATTGTGCAGTTTGCGCTGGAAGATGCGCGGAAAGTCAAAATTAAGGTGGGCTGCTGCTGCTGCTGCTGCTGCTGTCACTGCTGCTGCCGCTGCTGCTGCTGCTGTTTATGTTGCTGCTGTGCTGCTGCTGCTGCTGCTGCTTTTCGTTCTGCTTCTGCTTTTTTTATTTTTGTTTACTTGATTTAGCAGCAGCACCTTTAAGTGAAAGATGTATTTATATATTTATTTGTATTTATATTTATGTTTTTACTTTTATTTTTATTTGTATTTGTGTTTATATTTGTGGAGCAATGTGCACATTGGAAGTGCATTTGTGTCGAAAGTGAAATCTTTTTGTATTCTGTTATTTTCTTTTTGATTAAAATGGAGAAAACTTCACTTTTAATGTTCTTTTTTCTTCAAAAGTGAAATCTTTTTGTATTATGTTATTTTCTTTTTGATTAAAATGGAGAAAACTTCACTTTTAATGTTCTTTTTGCTTCAATTTTAATCAAAAAGAAAAAAAAAGAAATGCATTTCTGTCAAAGTTTTGTGGTCTCAGAAAGAACGGATTGCTGCTTTTGCGAGTTTGTTGAAAAAAAGAAAAGAAGAAGCAGAATTGGAAAATCCAGAAGAATCAGAAAAATGCAAAAAGACAAAAAAATTCAAAAAGAAAACTTACAGCAGAGGCAAGCAGCACGAGCTGTATGTACACCCCAAACCGCAGACACACGCAGCAGCAGCAGCAGCAGCAGCAGCACGAAAAACGCCTCCTTGAACAGTCTGCTGCTGCTGCTGCTGCTGCTGCTGCTGTTGCTGCTGCTGCTGCTGCAGGCCGTCGGCAGAGGGAGAAGAGGAGGCAGCAAAAGCTTGCTGCTGCGGGAGCTGAGCAGCAGCAGCAGCAGCAGCAGCAGCAGCAGCAGCGGCAGCGGCAGCAGCAGCGGCGGAAAGTACAAGAAGAGTTCAGCGACGACGAAAACGCAGTGAGACAAAACTTGCACTTTTAAAATTTTTTAATTCTTTTAAAACTTTTTAATTCTTTTTCTTTTTTCCATTATTGTTTTAACTGGCAGAAGTCTGCGGCATTTCTTTTCTTATTTGTGTTTGAATTAAGTTAATTTTCCTTTTAAAATGAAATGAAATATCTGCTGCTGCTGCTGCTGCTGCTGCTGCTGCTGCTGCTGCTGCTGCTCGCAGGGCTTTTCTATCCGTAAGCCCGATGGCAGCTCTCGGAGGAAAAGAAAGAAAGTGAATGCAGATGACGGAGAAGACCTGGAGGTCAGTTGCTGCTGCTGCTGCTGCTGCGAGTACAGTTGCTGCTGCTGCTGCTGCTGCTGCTGCTGCTGAAGATGCTCTACCAGGAGAAGAGAGCAGCACGAACAGCACTGGAAGCACCAGCGGCAGCAGGTAGAGCACAAGCAACAGCAGCAGCAGAGATGACATCATGAGCTGCAGCAGCAACGGCAACACCAGCAGCAGCAGCAGCAGCAACAGCGGAAACACCAGCACTTTGTTGTATCTCATTCTCTCTCCACTTTTGCTTCCTCTGCTTCCTGCTGCTGCTGCTGCTGCTGCTGCTGCTGCTGCTTTCTCTCTCGCTGCTTACTACTAGCAGCAGCGCTGCTGCTGCTGTTGATAGCAATGCAACCCTTGCTAGCCAGTGCTGCTGCTGTTGCTTGCAACCTGCCCTTGCTGCTGCTGCAGCCTATTCCCTGTTTTCCTGCAGCCACTGCTGCTGTTCCTGCTGCAGCAACTTACGCTGTGTCTGCTGCTGCTGCAGCAACTTATGCTGTGTCTGCTGCTGTTCCTGCTGCAGCAACTTATGCTGTATCTGCTGCTGCTGCTGCTGCTGCTGCAGGAAGAAGCGCTACGGCGTCGCATCCGCGAGCTCATGGGGGGATCTGGCTGACTCTTATTACCTCAAAACAATCTTATGTGAACAATTTCGAGTTTTAAATCATCTTTGCAAACATTCTGGAGACAAAAATAAATTAAAAAGCACAAAATAAAACACTCCGACCCGCCCCGTTCGCGCGCGCGCTGAGGTGTACGTACACCTCAACACCGCAGCCACCACAATTCAACTTCCGAAGACAATTCACTTCTTCTTTAAAACTAAATTTGGCATTTCATTTCCATTAAATCAATTAATTTGTTTCAATGAATCACACTCAGCATTATTTGTTTGTCATATGTAGTTTCAAAGCTTTCAGTTCGAAGTGCGTAGTGATAGATAACGGAGAGTGGTGACTCCCCTGCTGCTGCTGCTGCTGCTGCTGCTAAGCAGCAGCAGCAGCAGCAGCAAATAAAGCTCGTCCGAAAAGCCGGGGGTCCATAACCACCCCCCTCACAAACCCTCAATTAGCGGATAAGTAAGCAGGCAGCAGCTCGACACCAGCTGCTGCCAAACCCCAAACCCTGCAGCCACAGTCCTGCGAAACCCTAAACCCTCACTCGCTGCTGCTGCTGCTGCTGCTGCTGCTAAAGCCTAAACCCTCGAACAACGCTGCACTGACACGGGCGGGCATCCCGCACACACGCCCTCGCCGCAACAAACCCTCTGCTGCAGCAACTGCAGCAGCAGCAGCAGCAGCAAAGGGCCGAAGAGGGTCCTATGCGACCCTCTAAACCCTAAACCCTTGATTAGCGGATAAGAGAAGTCGTTGGTGGCTTCTAGTGAAGCCTAAAGCAAAACGAGACTAGCTGTCTATACACCTCCGAATCGCGTAGCGCGGCAACAGAGCCTCCGCAGCAGCTGCGTGTTCCCCTTCCGCAGCTGCTGCTGCTGCTGCTGCTGCTGCTGCTCCTCATCTGCTGCTTCCCTGCTGCTGCTCCTCAGCTGCAGCACCTCCGCTGCAGCATCTCAGCTGCAGCTCTGCTGCAGCCCAGCCCCTGCATCCCAGCTGCTGCACCACCACCACCGCAGCAGCTCCGCTGCTGCAGCAGCAGCAGCAGCAGCAGCTCTGCTGCTGCAGCAGCACCGCAGCAGCAGCACTGCAGCAGCAGTTCAGGAGCGTTCTCCGCGAATCCTCCTCGCGAGTTGGATATCCTTGGGCATAATGGTGACCCTCTTGGCGTGGATGGCGCACAGATTAGTGTCCTCAAAAAGCCCCACAAGATACGCCTCAGCGGCTTCTTGCAGCGCCAAAACCGCCGAAGACTGAAACCTCAAGTCCGTCTTGAAGTCCTGCGCGATCTCCCGCACCAGCCGCTGAAAAGGCAGTTTTCGAATTAACAGATCTGTGGACTTTTGATATCTTCGAATTTCTCTGAGAGCCACAGTGCCGGGGCGGTACCTGTGGGGCTTTTTGATGCCTCCGGCCACGGGGGCGGAG